TGCGAAAATTGCAGAAATGAGAGTTCCATGCAGCCCAAACCAGCGGCTATGAATAAAATAGTAGCTCTATGTTTTGGACTGAAGGGAGCTCCCAATTCTTCTATTTTCTTTCCTTGATAAGGGCTAAAACAGTTTAAAATATTTAACTCTGCAAAAAATAGTGCTCATATGCTGTAGGTAAGTTTATTTTTTATTTTTTAACTTTTATCTCACTGCTGAAACAATAAATGGGTTTAGAGTTTTTGAGGGAGATTAGAGCCGAATAAAACAACAAAATCTCTCTCGAAAGCTCTAAACCCACCCAGTTAGAATTTACCTGAGATAATTCACCCCTTACTCCTGTATTCTTGTGGACTTGGGCTCCGGTATTTGGATACTTGGTGTATCTGTACACTGTAAGGGTCACTGTGCTGCCGCAGACCTCTTTTTTGGGTAGGAAATGGAGAAGTGCGGCACTGTGGGCGTGTCAAGGATTTGGGTAGGAAAAAATGAGAGGGGAAAAACCGACGGCCCTGTTAGCTCGGTTGGAAGAAATCAAGAGCCCGCTCTTCAGTGAAGAAGAAATCAACGGCTAGGTTTCGTTTGTTCACTGGTGCCAAATTCATTTGGGTTAATACGAGACAAATGGTTACATACAGAAGGTTGAGACCATGCAAAGAATATGTTCAAGTTTCATATTTTGATTTATAATTTTAATCCACTAAACAATATGTATGAATTTGGAAACTATAAACCCAAAATCATGTACAAATGGACATGACGGGACAATTAAAACGCACAAGTTCTAACCGTTGTTTGATGCAATTTAATTACAATACGGTTTTGGTCTTGGAGGAAGACCAAATTATTGAGGTTGTTATTGTCACTTTAGCAAAGTTAACATGATTTGACAGAGTTAACAAAATTCGGACAAATATGGTATATTACATTCATTGAGTTTCAAGAAGTTAAGGGTCTTTTCGAGGACATCCGATAAAATTGGGACAATATAGAGTTTCAAGAAGTTAAGGAGAACAATTCGAGTTCAAAAAATATAAGAAAAACTAAAATCGAGATAAAAGGTCAAATATGTCTTTTTACACAGTTCGACTGAATCCGCGAATTTTCCCTTTCAGTGTACCAGCTTCCAACTCCCTCCTCCAACGGTTCTGTCCGAATTTTCTCTGCAAATTTTCACATTCCCGGAAAAATCGAGAGGAAATGGACGGAAAAATGGAAATCTCGCTCGACAAGCTTCCCATCAAGTGGTTGGAAGTCATTGAAGAAAACGGCCTCGAACAATTTCCTCCGTACGTCGTTATTCTTCACCCTTTTTTTCGGCTGATTTTATTTTCTCGGCAACCAAACGGCAACTTTGGATTTTCTCGGAAACCCCAACTATCTGTTTCTTTGGTTAAAGTGATGTAGGCTACGACGAGAAGCGGCAGATTTTGATTCGGGGAATCGTTTTCGCGTGGGCTGTGGGGAAGGACGAGAACAAGAAGCAGAAGAAGAGCTTGAAAGAGAGCGCCGCAACGCAGTGGCAACGGCTGAGCATGGTGGAGAGCTTGCAGCTGGCGCACCAGGAGCTCTCTGTCATTATCGATCTCATCAACACCGTAAGTCTTTCAATTCTCAGGTGATTTCTGACAGATTTCATTTCAAGGAGCAATGCATGCTGTGATTGAGTGATTCTAATGGAATGTGAATGTGTGCAGGTGGAAGCAAACGATGCTGTAACAGTGGCTAGCATAACGCGTCCGAAGCCGCTTCCTAATGAAGCTCTGTCTGATCTTGCTGTGTCTGCAGCAACCAAGCTTCAATGCTTCAGGGTGATGCTGTTCTCGCAGGGTTCCAGATTTCGTAAATTTTGTAAATTTGGTAACTTTTTGTTTTGATTGTTCGTGGATAGCTGTTTATGTGTTATCGATTACCATTTCAGCATCTTGGAAAGTACTTTAAGCAGTCTGCCAAGGCTTTGGACCGACAGGTTGCTCAAGAAGCTAGATTTTACTTGCTCTAATCAGGTGAGTCTGCAATGTTTGATGATGCTCCACATTGCTGGCATTGATGTTAGTTTTTTGGCCATTGATTTCTTTCTTATCACCAAGAAAAGCTTTTTGCTTTAATTGCTTATATTTCTGCGTGAGTTGTTCATATCACTTATAAACGACTTCAATAAGCTCGTTGGTTTCTTCTTGCATAAAGGAATTTGGGTAACTTGAAATCTGTGATACTCTGTTTGTGCATGAGTGAAAGGAACTCGGTACAATAGTATTCATATATTCTTGAACAATATTCTCTATCTCGTATATTGGCAAGTGGATAGATTACAGCAAAATTGGAAAGTTAAGCGGCAGCGTTTGGCAGCTTCAGCTTCTGGAAATGAAGGCTTTACCATTGATCTGTTTGACAACTCATTATATGATCCAGCTGCTATAGTTCGGCCGTCTGTTCTGTCTTCAGTTCGTGTTGAACAGGACTCGGCTGGCATGCTGGCAATAAATCTACCTCCAAATTCATTTCAATCCCATCAATTTGGTTTTCTTGGTGCTAATCCAGCAGATAATCCAATTGAATCCAGTAAAACCAAAATCAATTCATCAAGAGAGGCTGAGAAAGAATCTGTAAGCGATGATGAGTGTGTTAAAGAAACGCATTCACTTCTTTGCAAAGTTCATCAAGCAATATTCGATGAGCAGGTATATTTTACACATTAATTTTTTCTTATTTATCCCTCTTTCATTTTAATGGTTTTTAACTCCTGTTCTTATGGTCCAGGCGTTTAATTTGGTAAATCGTGAAGCTTTCAACCAAACTTTAGGAGTCAATGTAACTGGAATACAAGAAAACTATTTACAACTGAATAGAGGCGAAGGAACCTCTGTGTTCATATCACTTATCCCGTCTAAAGATGAACAAACAGCTGACAGTCTAAGCACTCAGAACATAGAGAATGCAATTTTACCTTTGGACACATTGGATGGCTTGCAGTTCCCAGAGGATGATAAACCGGATACCCCAAAGAAAATGTCAGTAATTCCTGATCAAATTAGTTGTTAAATATATCTGCAACAGATTTTTCACCAGCATGTATTTGTCAAAGCAAAGGATGTACCAACAACAACAGGTGCTCGAGTATCTGGTCAACCAGCCAAACAAGGGTCCGGACTTCTTGGCCATTTCTGCATGTCTTTGGGTCATCGAATCTTTTCAAACAAAGTTCTTACAGAGCTGGAAAATGTGGTAAAGTCCAAATTCTTGTGAAGACATATCAATTCTTGAATTTGAATTTATTTGATTGAACTTTTTCTCACTTGTGTCCATGATTCTGTAGGTTAAAGGGGTACCATATCTGCAGCTGTTATCTCAACCCACTTGGCATTCGCGGACATCATCATGGAAGCTCTCTGTGAAGATTCCTCAATCCATTCTACATGCATGTCAAACCCGAGCATCTGACATACGTCATGTGGGAAACGTTGCCAAGTCTCGTTTTCATACTAAGGTGGTTGGAACAGATGATTGCCTCAATGTAGAAGGGGAAGGTGCTCCAAATATGGTTGGCCTGTTCAATGGGAATTCTGAGGAAATTTGTTCAATGAACAGATACGACTGCAATTTGGCAGATCTTCCTGCAGGTATCTCTTATATTTGTAAAGGTGGTTTATAAGTCGTTTTAATTTATAAAGAAAAAAGGTAGCGTTGTGAAACTTGACAGATTATTGGCAAACACACCGTCGGTGTCTTTTGATGTCTCTCTTTGCCTATGATTGTGTGTGGTACACTACGAATTTGGCAACAAGTTGCAGACCAAGTTATTCGCTGGCTTCACGAAGAAGCTCTTGCAGTTGGAATAAAGGCAAACCGAGACTTTCTTTGTTTGTCACTTGAGCTGGTTCAGGGCGAAACACGCAGCGTGGTGGCACATGTGGACCCAGGAGACAGTGAAGGATGCATCTCATGGTGGTTGGTCGTAGACGGCAGGTTTATAGAGGAACGAAAACTCAGTATAGACACTTCCGATGCTGCGTCAGAAACTAGGAAGCTTTTAGGTCAACTATCCCTGGAAGTGTTGTATTCGACACTGATGGACTTGGTTAGCCTGTGCAACGGAGGCGGTAACTGATGATGAAGCATGCGTGATAACGTTCTAGCTAGTAGTTTTGGGTTGTTTTTTCATTTTTCTATGTACAAATGTTGTCGTGTAATCGATATACAATCCCATAACCAATTGTGGCATGTCCTTTGCACCTTCAAGTGGGGTATTTTTGCCCCCGTTGACTATTGTAATCAAATGTAAGTAGTTGGGAGGGATATTATCAATAGCTGTAGCATCCCGGATAGGCCGGCTAGAGGTCGGCACGGCCCGCCCTGACCGACCCGACTGCCGAAATATCTACAAGCATGGTCAAAGCCAGGAATTATCTTGCTTGCCTTCCAAGCAGGCAATCAACAAGAAAGCAGTCAACTGGGAAAGAAGGAACCTTGAGGTTTCGTGTTTGGGCCAATCACCCTTGCCAACTTTTAGTGGGCGTGACTTTAACACCATTCCATCTCACATCTTTAATAAAAATTAAAGAAGGGTAGATGCTTGTTAGGCCGATTAGTTAGGACAATGTTCATTTTCGTTGCAGTTAAGTTTGAATTTATATTTTCGTATAATACAAAAAAAAATAATAAATTCGTGATAATTAACCTAATTGGTGACAAGGTTGTTTTGTTAATTCCTTGGTGATTAAAAAAAACCTTTCGTTATGCCACTTAATATTACGATTTAATGGTATTCCTCTTCACTTGTAAGTGAGAGATCTTAGATTCGATTCTCGTCAAAGGCAAATTTGAACCACATTATTGTGAGCTTATTATAAGGCTAAGTTCACATTATCTCTTTTAATGTAGATAATATCGTTTGTTCAAAAAAAAAAAAAAAAATCCTTCGTGATAGTTATCCTAATTTCTCACGTCAACGTTCTTATTCCCTTGCATCCACGATGAATCATATAAATCATAATACACATACCAAAAACGAAGAACAGTAAAGAGGGAAATTTACAAAATTTAAAATCAAAATTATCGTCATCAAAATTGAAGGTTCTTTTGTCTGCCTTTCAAACGTGCACGAAAAGAATCACATCCTTAATTTCTTCTTCCCGAATTCCAAACTTCCAATTCAATCCAAACACGTTCTTCCGTTATACGGAACAGATCCAGTTCCTTCTTCCCTCTCCAAACACCTGCGCTGGGACGCCACATGCACCCGCCCGCAAAAGACCCAAAATACCCCTCTGGAGTTCCGTTAGTCGCACAGCCTTTGCAGCTCTCCCTCTGTGCTCCCCTATTCCAGGACTGCTGCTCGGGATTGGGATTAATATCTGCGAATCGGAGAAACCGATGAAATTGCCGTCTGGGTTTCGAGGGGAGGTTGAATTGGGGAACTGGGTTTGAAGAATTTGAAGCCTTCGTTCTCTGTTGGGAGAGGATTTTTGAGTTGGCGGCCAGATGGGTTTGTTCTTTTGAAATTTTTGTTTTTTGTAGTCGAATTCGAGATGGTTTTGCGGGAATTTGGATTTCTGATAAGGGTTCTTTGGATTATAAAAAATTATTGGTTCTTTGATGATCAAGTGGTGGACTTTTGTAATTTTAGGTGATATTTGCTGATTGAATTACTAGATTATCGCATTCAATTTTCATAGATTGTGATAGATACAGAAACACATTGCTGCTTGATATTTGATTAGAGGTTTAGGAGCAGCAGAAAGAGTAGAACAGTTTTACTACATTCTTTGTAGAATTGAGTTTTGCCCGGTGGGGGTTTAGTTAGTGATTGATTGGAGTGGTTTGGTCAGATTCTGCGGCTTGAGATTCTTGTAGTTTGTGTACTTTATATTGTTTGTCTTGATGTCGGGTGGTACGCCAACTGGGGCCGGATATATGAGGCAGAGGCATAGCCAGGGATATGCATCGAGCGGCGATGATCTTGAGGATGATGCGTGCTCGGTTATGCGCTCTCCGTCCCCACAAAGTCCGAAAGTTTGGTCGCGGATTGAGATTTTGGAGAATGCCCTTTGGCTTGCCTCAGCAGCATTCATTGTGTACTATGGTGACAGGAAATCCAATATGATATATATCTTCTGCCATGATGAGCGAATTAGAAGGTATCGGTTTTGCTTGAATTGTTCTCAATTTTGCACCGCTGGTTATTTTGCTTGTTCATTTGTTAGAAGGGTGGTGCCTCAGGCTTGTGATAAGTAATATGTACTAAATGTTATATACTGTATGACTTGGTTCTTTAGTCTTGGGTATTTGGTGGTACATTTTCCCTTTGAATTTCCTGATTGCGTTTGCAAGCTTTGACAGAGCTTAAACTAATCTTTGATGTATCGTTTGCTACTCTTGAAATGTAAATGGTTTAGGACATACGTAGAAAATCTCATAGCCTATGCCTCTTGATTTCTGTTCACACAATACTAGGTGAAATTTTGGATTTATGGTCTTGATTGAAAGCTTTCGTTCTTATTTTTTTTATAAATCTTGCAGATTGCCTTTATACCTTGGGATGGTGGGCGTAGTTTTAAACATTATCATCTTCTTTTATACGAGTATGTCGGCATGGGGCGTAAGGAGATTTGACGAGAAATGGGAATTAGAAAGTATAACTGCTCTGCCGTTTGTGACACTACTTGGCGGCATCTCATTTTGCTTGTAAGAGAAACCATACTGCAATTCCATTTTACATTCATCAGGTGGTATGTTTACGATAACTGCTTCTGACTTGCTGCTTTCCATTTTTTGGCAGCTTCTGCTTTGCTTTGTGGCCAATATGGAGTTTCTTGACGCTTCCTCTTTTGGTAAATCCTAGTTTCTTTTCATCTTGTCGTACCTTGTAGATTTACGTATTATTTTTGTTGTGAAACTGTCTAAGTACTGTTTGCATTACTGCAGTTCACGCTGTTTATGGCAGGCATGGTTATATGTCCGTACATTATAATTGGGATATTTAGGCAACAGCATGATGTGCTGCGTACAGATTATGCCTCAGAGTTAGGTGAGAAACATTACTGATCCAGAACAAGAGCTTCTAACCCAAACCAGGGATGGCAAGTCACTCAGAAGATTGAAGTTTTATCAGATGCTCTCCTTGCCATATGTTGCGAGATTGGTCATTCTGTCGTTGCTTCCAATCAGTCAGGCTTCTGTTTTTACATGAACCTTATTCAGTCGATACACCTGATGGTACATCCATAGAGTTCTGTATTAACGTGAAGCGGAATGGTTGGGATCTAGTTTTTGTGATCTGATACCGGTTAGCAATTAGCCATATAAGCATATTGAGTTTATATCTTTTTCTTTCTTTTCCTTTTTTTCATTGTAAATGAGCAATATTGCACCATAAATTCTGCATCTTTGAGAGAGAGACTTCACTGTTCAATGTTGTATACCCCTATGTGACTTAAGAGTGTTTGATCAAATCATTCGTAGGACATCTCTCACATAAACATAAAAATCTCATATATTTTGGTCCATCTGACCCATGCTCTAGTTCTACTCCGTGTAAGAGCTGCTTTGGTCAAAAAGTCCTACCGAAGTTTCTTTTGCATAACCATGGAATATGAGGGAGTGTTGAGTTAGAAAGTGAATGTGAACCCCACAAAGAATGAAAGAACTCAAGTCACCAAGCCTTGTCCCCCCAAAAAGGAAAAGTGGTCTCTCACTTCTGTAACATTGTAACATAGTGCTCAGAATATTGGTTGGGTTTGCATCACATGATGGTGAAACTCCAAATCTTACGGCCATGTTTAGTGAATATGATTAGATTATTGCATTAGACTAGATTAGATTGCTGGATTGGAGATGATAACATTAGTCTAATGTGATGTTTGGTGCTACACAATAAAGAGTTGGATTATCTGAAAAGTGCACTGGTGTTCCAAAGTCTAGGTTCCGGTTGTCCCGGGTTTTGCATAGAGGGAACTGGAAAGGGGTAATAGCGTTCTTTACCAACTAAAAGCGCTTACGACTACGTCTAACAAAAAGAAATGATTTCAAGTTATAAAAGTGTTTAATGGAGATTGTTATTGGCTTCATGTCACCGGTTATGTATCCTGTGACCAATAAAGAACTAGGTAAGAGTGGATAAGTAATTGACTAAATGGTTGAATCTCTCCTAATCATGAGTCGGGAAAACCATCTCCTCGGCTCAATTTGCCCACACTAATTTTGGATCCTTGTTTTTCTTTGGGGACCGAGTCGAATCAAGATTTTCCATGAAATCAACATTGAGAACTAAATATCAATGAAGAAGAATTCTTACGTACGTCAAACTCACGAATTGCTTGGAGGCCAAGTTTAAGGCCTAGCGTCTAGGGTTCTTCTGCCATTGTAAGTACATACAATTCGAACCAGGCAAAAAGGTCTAGCGTGCGTCTAGGGTTCTGGCACTACAATTACATACAAACACTAAAGACGTTTTTCTTCCAACAACCACTAAAGATTTTTTACAAGAAGAGAAAGAGAAAGCGACGCGTTGACATGAACCAATCCAAAATGGACGCGGACTTGGACATGCTGATGCCGGAGGAGATGACCGAGGACTTCAGTCTTCTTGGTGAGGAGAAGGAGATCAGTGGGCAGGGCCTGAAGAAAAGAAGCACTTCAAGGTCAAGGACACCCCTAAGAACGTCGACGGGGGTAATTAATTCTCTCTTTGATTTCTTCCTTTCTTCTGTAATTTTGAAATATTCATTTTTTGGGAAAGTTGGTTTTGTACTGTTTTTTAATTGGGATTGATTGGAATGGCTATGGTTAGTTGTGGAAGGGTGTTGGCAGAAACCACCCTTGGAACTCATAGGGAACGTCGTACAGCGGCTCGACTTGATCGGATTCACGGCTTAAGCCTCCTCTGCAAGCATTGGAGTTCGATTGCATTGCAAGGAGACATGCCCAATAATCATCAATTCCCCTGGTTACTGGTCACTAAAGCACCCAGGTTGCTTGGTGGCACTAACCCAAGGCCCAAGTACTTAGAGTTGTCCATCCCACCCGATGGTAACGTTATCACGTTAGGGTTGTCGAAACAAAATCAAGGGCTTTTTCATAGTTCCTGCAAAGACTGGTTGATCATGGACAATGAAGAAAACTCTGGAAGTATTTCTACTAAACCCTATTTCTGAAGCCAAGCACGAACTTCCTTCCTTAACACAAATCCCATCTTTCGGAAATTTTAGAGTACAAAATTTCCGTTTTCTTCGTAAAATTGCACCATCGAGTTCAAACATGTCAGAATGTACGGTGGCAGCATTTTTTTCTTCCAAGGAAATTGGTGTGTGCAGGCCGGGAAAAAATAGTTGGAGCATCTCTCTGATGTCGGATGATAGCAACGATTCTCTTTTATGCTTGTTGTTTTCTTCATGTGGCATGCTATATGCCTTGATCGACAACAATGCCAAGAGTGGAAGAGTTATAACTCGCACGTTACGTTTTGGAGATGGTGATAATCTTGAACTGAAGTTGGTTTCTGATATAAAAGGAAAACCAAGGGAATATTATTCCACTGGCCTTAACATTCCTAATGGTTTTAGGTATGTCTATATCAAGCACAAGTCATATTTGATAGAATCAACAACCAACAATGAATTTTTGTTGATCCATCAATTTACGGATTACAGAATAAAGAACGATCTTGGTCCTGAGACAATGACTCGTGATTTTGTAGTTTACAAGTTCGACGAGGAGGATGGTGGAAGCTTTATCGAGATACAGAGTTTGGGGAACCAAATATTGTTTCTAAGAAGCCGAGTTGTTCTTTTCCGTTGCCCGTGAGTAATTCCAAAGGATTGGAAGCCAACTGCATTTATTTTCTGGAGATGGGTGACGTTTCTTAGGATATATAGGTCATCCTTCGAAAGTGAGTTACGGTTGGACCATTTTCGGGTTTAGTACTCTAATCCTACTTCTTATCTTGCTCACCTAACGACGTGCATGGGGCCGCTAATGTGAATGGACAAATGTGTTTGTCTTTCTAAGAGGAGATTTAATTGAAAGCAAAAAAAAGATGGGTGACTTTTCTGTATAACGATAATTTGGAATTAGGCATATGTAGCTGTTTTCATGGAAGTATTTGTTTGATTTCAATGGGTTTGTAACTGATCATTGTGTGATTTAACCTAATTTCGTGTTTTTTAAATAAAGAAATTAAAAAAATTACGTAAAAATATTATTGTAAAGTCAGGTAGACACCAACAAAAAATCAACTGAAAAGTCTGATTCTTTCTAGTTTCTTCACCATCATGCGGATCGGAGTGGTTGGATTAAGGGCCTGTTTTCCGAGATTGAAGTTTTATGAGATGCTCTCATTGCCATAGTTTGCGAGATTGGTGGTTCGGTCATTGTCTTCCAATCAGTCATCTTCTATTTTATACGTGAACCTTATACGTGATATTGATTTGCCATTACAGTATCGAGTTCTTACCATGTGTCTTTTCTTGTTAAATCTAGTTTTTTTCTTTTCCTCATTATAATGAGCAGTGATTGCTCCATAATTCTGCATCTTTGAGAGAAACTTCACCATTTGATGTTGTACCCCTCTCTCTCTCTCTCTCTCTCTCTCTCTCTCTCTCTCTCTCTTGCTTGTCTCCACTATAAGATAGGAGTGTGATTGCTCCAAGTCATTCGTAAGCAAAACCTAGAGAAAATTTTGGATAGGAGTGTGATTCCAACACAAAGCTTGTAGAATTATAGTGTGCAAGATAGTGAAACTCCCAATCTTATGGCCATGTTAAGTGAGGATTGGATTGTTGCATTAGATTAGATTACGTTGGATTGGAGAAGATATCATTAGTCTAATCTGATGTTTGATGCTACACAAGTGAGTTGGATTAAATGAAAAAGGCACCGGTGTTCCAAAGTCTTGGTTCCGATTGTGCCGGGTTTGTATATGGAAAACCAGGTCATTGGTCTAGGGGTTGGGTCGTGGATTGTCCTGGGTTTGCATATGGGGAACGGGGAAGGTTAAGAGAGTTTCCTACCAACTAAAAGCATTTCTGATTATGTCTAACAAAAAAAATTCCGAGTTATGAAAGTTCTTTGAAGATCATTATTGGTTGCATGTCATTAGTTATTCATCTATTTCCCAATAATCAGATAAAACGGTAGAATCTCTATTAATTATGGGTTAGGAAAGCCCATCTCCTTTACCCAATTTGCCTCCATTTTTTGTTTGTGCAAAAATTTCACTAAGCCCTCAATAATTTTGGATTCTTGTTTTTCTTTGGAGATTTAGTCGAATCAAGAATATTACATAAGAATCCTAATAACTTTTGGAGCAAATAAGAATCCTAACTGTTAGAATTAATTAATCAGGAATTATCTCAATAAGTATTGCATATATTATATGAATATATGTTTTAATTGTAATTAGTGTACGATTCCTACTTAAACAGGAGCTTATGTAACCTATATAAATTGTAACAAAGTCATAATTCAACGTTGTAGCGTCTAGGGTTCTGCCGTTATAATAATAAACAATTGGAAGCAACAGGCCTAGCGTGGGGTTCCGCCATTAATTACGTAATTAGATGTGTTTGAGAAGAGAAAACGAAGCGTCGACAACATCAACCAATCCAAAATGGACGCAGACTCGGACATTCCGGCGCCGGAGAAAATGAACGAGGACTTGGATCTTCCCGGGGGAGAGGAGAAGGAGATGGGCATGCAGGGTCTGAAGAAGAACAACCACCACCTAAACGTCAAGGACACCACCAAGAACGCCAACGAGGATCAAGGTAATTATCTTTAATTTATCCATTTTCTGAAAATTTGAAATTTTTTCGCTCTCTTTTTTTTTTGGAAAATTGGTTTTTACTTGTTGTTTGGATTGGGATTGATTGGAATGCCTATGGTTTGTTGTAGAAGGGTGTTGGCAGACACCACATTTGGATATCATCGAGAAAATCGTACAGCGGCTCGACTTACTTGATCGGGTTCGCAGCTTAAGTATCCCCTGCAAGTACTGGAGTTCGATTGCATTGCGAAGAGATATCTGCACTGCTAATCAATTTCCATGGTTACTACGCACTAAACAAGCCTCGACCTGCAGGTTTAATGGCGGCAGTAAACTAAGTTCCAAGTAATTAGAGTTAGAGTTAGAGTTCTCCATCCTGCCCGAGGGTAACGTTCTCAAGCCAGGGCTGTCAAAGCAAAATCAAGGGTGGTTTCATAGTTCCTGCAAAGGTCGGTTGATTATGGTCAATGAAGAAAACACTGAAGTTTTTCTACTCAACCCTATTTCCGGAGCCAAACACGAACTTCCTTCCTTGACACAAATCCCATCTTTGGAAACATTTGGAGCTGAAACAGCCGACCTCCTTCTTCATAAAATCGCACTATTCAAATATCTCAGAATGTACTGCGGCAACAATTTTTTCTTCTAAG